CAAACTTGAAACTTGAGTTCAATTGAGTTTTCAAGCTTCAAGTGAGTTTTCAAGTTTCAACTTTCAACTTTCAACTTTCAAGTCTCAACTTTCAATCTAATTTCAGATGACTTTTCCGGCCAGTCCTTTCGCGGCACCCACAGCCGCTGCAATGTGATGTGCGCATAGTGTGGCCACTTCTTTCGCGATCAGTCCCTTCGCGGTCAGTCCTTTTGCGGCCAGTCCTTTCGCGGCACCCACAGCCGCTGCAATGTGATGTGCGCATAGTGTGGCCACTTCTTTCGCGATCAGTCCCTTCGCGGTCAGTCCTTTTGCGGCACCCACAGCAAGTGCGATGTGATGTGTGTCATAGTGTGGCCACTCCTTTCGCAGCACCGACAGCAGCTGCGATGTGATGTGCGTCGTAGTGTGGCCACTCCTTTCGTGATCAGTTCCTTCGCGGTCAGTCCTTTTGCGGCACCCACAGCAGGTGCGATGTGATGTGTGTCGTAGTGTGGCACCTCCTTTCGCGGTCAGTTCCTTCGCGGTCAGTCCTTTTGTGACCAGTTCTTTCGCGGCACCCACAGCAGCGGCAATGTGATGTGTGTCGTATTGTGGCCACTCCTTTCGCGAGCAGTCCCTTCACGGCTAGTTCTTTTGCGGCCAGTCCTTTCGTAGTAACTTGAAACTTGAAACTTGAAAACTCAATTGAATTCAAGTTTCAAGTTTTACATATATGTCTCCAACATGTCAGTCATCGAATAATATCTCGAAAAACATGTTACTTAGTATTTTTAAATTACTAAACATAACTAATTCGAATAATCGGCGTTCCCCGTTGACTATCATAAAAAAATATGTAATGAGAGAATGATGCGACGAATAGATTGCGACGAATTGATGTGCGACTAATTGATTGTGCGACGAATTGATTGCGACGAATTGATCGGTCACCCATTAAACATTGAGCAATGGCAAGAAGTTTCGATTCATCATAACTATGAATTAAATTTGACAGAAGTGTCCATTGACTAGAAATCAATAATGATTTGTCCGATTGCAAAAGATTCAATGTTGTTAACTAAAAAGAAATCAACAAATAATTTATTTCTATCGTCGAAAAATCTTTTTTCTTACACAGAAAAAAAAATTCCGTGAATTTTGAGTAAATTCAAAATTGACGAAAGAGTCTAACCTGTTTTAGTTGTACCTGATGGTTTGATATTATTGAATTAATTTTTGTTTTTTTACTTATTCAACTTTGCCGTTTTCCTGTAGGTCGAAAACATTCGACTCGCATTCCACTGAGAAACATTTTATCAATCGACAAAACGTACAAACATGACGAGTATTAATATTTATTTCAAAATCACCATTATATCGACATTTCAAAAGTTCCTAAATAAATTGATTTAACAAAAGAAAAACCTTTAAAAAGCTTCAACTCACTCGTTTAGTTTCAGCATTTCGTTTGAAGAACATTTTACATGATGCACATGAGAGAACACCAAAATTGACTTGTGAAGTTAGAACACCACAAATTAGACCTTCTGATAGATTTGTTTTCGATTTTTTCACCACCGACATCGATTAAGAATATGAATTAGTTGTAGATGAAATCTCATTTATTGATTCCGAAAAGTCTTTTCGTCTATAAAATAGAATTGATAATAATTGTTCATTAGGAGCAAAAATACGATATAATTTGCTTTTATTTTAAAAAGAAAATATATAAGCTAATAATTGTTTTTTTTACATTGGAAAATAAATCAAGAAAGATTATTTTTTACATATCATCTATGAACTATGCAAAATTCGAAAACAAATAAACATCGATTAAAAAAAAAAAAACTTCAAAAGTATCATGCTTAAAATTTTTTTTCTTTTCTTGGTCGAAGCTTGTTTAAACACATTAGATATCAATTAAATATACTAAAGAGCTCAACAACTTTCTTGATTTAGCTTATTTTCAATTAAAGTTGAATATAACGTAGTATATACATATATATATCAGAAGAGTTTTTTATAATCAATTTTTTCGATTTTTAAAAGTTTTTAGACAACATACGATGCAATAATAACATCACAAAATGTTGATCTCTGTTTCTTCTTGATAGAAAAATATTGAGAGAAACTTTTTTTTTTTAAATATATAGATTTTTCTCTGTGTACAGCGTATTTTTAAAAGACGTTCGTAAACATCATGAATGAACAAAAGAAGAAAAATGCCCTTGAAAGAAATCCGCATGTTTTCTATAAAAAGGACGTACAAAATTTTGATCACTATATTTCATCGATAAACACGTTTCGGAAAAAATCTTTTTTTTTATCAATTAATCAAAAAATTTTCTTCTCTTTCGAACACTGTATGCTTTATATTTGTGACAAATTCATGAATAAAATAAGACGAGACAAAACAGAAAAACACTGCCACTATATGTTTGTAACTTTTATATGAATTATTTGCTCTCTAACATGTTCTTCTTTGATGAATTCATATAAAAATTACAAACTTATGGCATGAGTAATTTTCTTTTTGCTATCTCGTCTCATCGTATTTATGAATACGTAATAAATATTAATCATCCACTGTTCAAATAGAGAAGAAAATTTCTTATCAACTGATAAAAAATGTTCTTCTCGAAACTTATTTATCGAAGAGATATAAGGATCGGCAATTTTACCGTTTTTCTGAATTTCGTGAAAAGTGTGGATTTTTTTCACGAGTGTTTCTCGTTCCTTTTAAAGCATTTTGTTGATGAATACGTTATAAAAAGAAGCTACACATGAATCGAAAGACTAGAAAAAGCTTCATCTTTTTCTAAAAAGCAAAGTTTTCCTTCCGTACGTTTCTATAAAAAAAGAAATAGGGATCGATATTTTGTGCCATTACTTTGACATCTTATTTGACTTTTTAAAACTGTGTTTAATTTTGTTTTACCTCAACTTTGTCCGACAGAGTTGCGTAACAATGAAAGAAACATGTGATTTTGGTAGCATAGAAAAACATAAGAGAGTCATTTTTAGTGGGCTTTCTATCTTTTTCTTTCTCTTGTTTTGAAGAACGCAAAAATGGTACTTTCACCCTGAGTCTAATCGACGCATCAACATTCTCTCTGTGTTACATCTCCGAGCAGAAAAAAATGAAGTTTTTCTCTTCTTTTCTTATCCCAATATGTTGGAGAGAGGACATCAGTCATAGACATGCTAATTTCTTAAAAGAAAAAGATATCATAAGCAACTATTCATAGTTTTAGAGAATATGCTGAACTCTAAAAGGTTTCAATCATTTATTAATAAGTCATCAACAGATTTAGATAATTTAAAGTACTATCTCGATTAAAAGAAGGCTTCAAGCATTCAGAAGAGGTCTATATTACATCTTTTTTTAATGCTGATCTTTTTTTTTACAAAGATACTATCAGTGCACATCATTTGAGCTTAGGTAGATCGTGTGAAATACGATCAAATTAACGAGAACTGGAATCAATACGGTTGCTTATCCAATCCAATAACAAAAAGAGGTGGCAAATGTCATCTAACTCGTTAATAATCACGGTTAATCGGTCACTGAATCATGAATATAAGCTTTAAACTTTTTGTTTATTATTCAAATGCAGGTCTTTCAGTCATACAAGACCAGTTTTACAAAAATACAGGTTTTTTTTTATTATACTTGACTTATGGCATAAAAATTGGAAGTTTTCAGATCTATTCGAATAAGTCGTTTTATTTGCAAAACAGGCTCTTCTTTACCGAAGAATTTGAAATCAAATTTGGTAGCGTCTTCTCGGCTATCACTTTATCTCTTCATTATTAAAAAGCTAGAAATTAACAAAAAACTCTTAAACGTAATATTAACGTCTAATGTATCCATTAAAAGAGAGAATTTCAAGCTCTAAAAAACTATTGATATTATTGTACAAATAAATTTTCCTCGTTGGTATCTTATTAAAATGATTCACACCTAATCAATCATTCAACTGCGACTTTGTTATTTTCAGTTGACATTTATCGATCAATGACAATTTTTGCTCATGTAGACCAATGCTGGAAATCAATTATGTAGCACTAATAGATAGAGAATTTCGTGCTCTACCCTCCTATGATCTTTTCAAGATTCATAGTGTTGTTACTCAGGAGAAAAAGGTTTGGAACTGACATCTGTCGTTATTTTGAGATGCACTTTGAAAAATCATGTTTTCAAAACCCAGACTTGTTCCATGAAAACTTGATAATTATGTAATCGAATATAGATTTCAATTTTGAACAAAATGTTGTAACTGTGAAATGGAACGGTAAAAAAATTTAGGTTATTTTGAATAACAAAAATAACTATGATCTACTGTTATGAGAACAATACTTTTTCGTTGCTTTGATATTTTTTTCTTCAAAGCTGTCTATCTCAAATATTTTCTCTAAAATTCTAAAACATGCTACGAAAACAGTCAGTCACATATAGGGTACTCCAATCTGTTGTAATCTCGAGGTGCTGGGAAGCCTCCACTGTCTGAGAGGGTCTCATCATGTATCTTCTCCCTGTTGAAAGCTATAATCATGAAGTTTTCAGGCAAAACTTGAATATAGGAGAGCCCTCATTGGAAAAAATCTCAAGAGAATTGGTTGAAATTAGGGGTAGTCATTGGTCATTTTTCGACGAAACCGGTTAACTCTCACTTCGAGACTACTCAAAGATTACTTCTTAAATTAGAGAAGGTGAAATCGTTTAATATGAAATTGTCTTTTTGGTAATAGAGACAGAACTAAACTTTCAAATGAGATGTCAAACGCTGTCAAATTTGCTTCTTGTACCGAAATGTCTTCATCAGAAGAAATTCATGTTTGTCTCCTAGCTTCTCCTTATGAAAATCTATCAGGTTATGATTGGTCCTTGTAATCAGGGTTCTCTGAGTTCTATTTGCAAGAAAAATATGAGCCCGACGGTTGAGGTTTAGATAGTATTCAACTCATAGGAATACTTTTTGTCCCTACTGTAGTTTCACGATAAATTACATCTGTTTTTATTTTTCGCTTGTAATTATATCATAATAAAAATTAGTTATCATAATTAAATCTTTATTTGTTGGCAAAATATATGTAAAATCTGAATGTGTACCATTTAATTGTTTGGATAAAACAGATGGATCAATAAATTGTATTAATTCATCAAGCTTTTCAATAAAATGATTTTTAACCATATACCAACAACTATAAAATAATCATGGTGCATGTATAGTTAGTCCAGGACCCATAAGCGTGATTGAGAATAATAATTTTTAAGAAGATAAGAGATTTTATACGCTGATAATCCATATTTGTCAAAAGAGAATCAGTCATATAAGAAATGGCTCTTACTGATTCAAGTGATTTTCGACCTGCTTTTATAATCATAACTGTTAAGTTTTCAGTTGATTGAAATGGAAATTGATCTTTTGTATAATTTTTAATGAATCAGTGCTTTATTGTACAACTAATTCTATTATTACCTATAAAACAAGTTTTGCTTGTTACAGTTTCATCACAACCATAAATAAAATCCATTGATCTTATAAAAAAACTTGCAAGAAGATCAATTACTTAATATATAACGTTCCCTATCAAATTAACTTTGGTAAATAGAAATTCTTTTAGAAAAGTCAACATATTATGAATGATTTCTTTGTTTGTTTTTAACATTAATAAATTATACTTGTTTGCTACTATTTATATTGTTTTCGTCAATGTTTGTCAAATTGTGAGGCAATATAAATAATCGATTGTATATGTTAATAGATAACAAATGATTCTTTGCAATTCGAACAATGAATCTATTCTTCAAGGTAAAACAGCTATCTAAATTACATTTCATGTGTATCAAGTATCCCTTTTCTTTATATTGAGTTAATATATTGATTTTTATATTATATTCAATTTATCTTCCTTCATGATACTTATCGAGATATTCTATTTCAATTAAATTATTCTGTCAACTTATTTCTAATATTAATTTAAATGATTTTTCTTGATTATAAGTAGATAATTATTTTTATTATAAAAATTTGTTCAAATTTATCTATATTGATAGATAAATAAAGTTTTCCATCATCTACCAATTCGATTTGACAATGTTTTATTATATCTATCTATATAATTGAAATAAAAATTAAGTTAAAATTAGTCCTATTAATAAATGGAAACTAGCATCAATTCTAAAAAAGATTACAGTTTTTCTCTTATATGTTTAAATGCATCTGTACGTGATCTTCGTTTTTTTCTTTTTTTCTTTTTTCGATAATATCATCATCAATAATGACGATAATATGTTTGATGAAAATATGATATCATTGTTATTGTAATCTATAATCTTTTTTTCTCAACTAATCGAACTATATTTTTTTGGCCTATTTTTACAGACAGTTGGTGTTAATTGATGACATCCTTTCGCATTCATTTCTGTACATATGCAAATGAACAAAAATAAACATCACATTAAAGAACAAAACAAGCTCTCATACTACTATACTTTTTAATCGCAGTCAGTTTGTATCTATCTATTAAAAACAATAAAAGAAAAAGAAAATTTTTTTCCAAATTAAATTTTACACATTGTTGCATGTACTAACATATTTCCGATTTAACTGTTTAAAAGGTAATATTTTTTATTTTTATTCAACAAATAGAAACAAAAAATTTAATTTTCATAGAAACTATATCTGTTGATGTTTCAGAGGTGAAGGCAAGATCTTTATCTAAAGTAAAAAAGTAACTTTAATATAGTGCAACAACCTCAAAGTACAAGTAAGAATAGGTTCTGAGTTATGTGAGAAAAAAATCAAGTGTTTTTTTCTGACCTTAACTGATTATTAGAGGCAACAGTAGATTAAATAAATTAAAATTAGTAGAAAATTCTTATGTTTTCAACTTAAATAAAAATATTAAAACTTATTATTTGATTAAATTGATTGTAATTGAAAATAGAAGAAAAAGAAATTTTGGAAATTAACTTATTATTGATTTAAATCTCTCATCATGATTCATCATTGTTTTATTTAATTGGTTGAATTCACCATTATTATTTTATTTAAATCTTCAGTTATACTATTCAGAGAAATAAAATAAAATCTAATCCTATTTGATGTTTATTCTTTCGTTTCTGTCCTTTGTTGAACATGTATATAAACAATAAAACAAAACAATAAAATACTCGACAAAACACCACTCTTTTTTCGAATTATTATTCTCAACATTAACAACTTAAACATGTTTGATCCACAAAATAGTGAAATTTTGTTACAAAATTTATCATCAAATGATACAAATTTACGTTTAATGGGTATATCAAATTTAATTAATAATTTACAAACAGAATCATTTCAACTTGATACAAATTTTCAACATGAAATTGTACACAACATTTTAAAATTATTAGAAGATACTAATAGTGAAATAAAAATGAAAGCTGTACAATCTATTAGTCCATTGTTGTACAAATTAAATGGACAATCATTAAACATAATAAGTAGTGTATTCTGCAAAAATTTTCTCAATGCAGCTTATGATGAAACAGATTTACGTAATACAATAATTATGTCTTTGAAAATAATGTTTGATGAATTTTTGCAAAGAAATCAAGTCGATCATATTTGTAATCCCTCGAACGTGATCATGAACCATTTAATAACAAGTATTCTTGATTATACAAAATCAAAAATAAGACGAACACGATTCAAATTAGACCAATGTGGTGGTGGAGTTTTAGATATTTTGGATATTATTATTGATGTTCTTTCGAAAGAAAACGCACAATACAAGTTCTATCTTATACATATACCACTATCCACATTAGTAAAAAAAAATTTAATGTCGCCACGTGAAGCAATTAAGAGACGAATAATATCCTTATACAAGTATGTATTTGTAAAATTTTTCAAGATATAATGAAAGAAAAAAACTTTATTTTAGTCAAATACCATGCATTAAGTATAAAGAATGCGAATGCTTCGGTAAATATGTGGAAATGATGGAAAATTAATGGCACAAAAAATTTTATATTTGATTTCAAACAAAAAACTTTATTTATTTTTTTTTTCAAACAAAAAAAATGTATTTATTTCATGTACAACAAAAAACATTATTTATATCATATAAAAGAAAAAATTTTATTTATATCATGTAAAACAAAAAGCTTTATTTATTTCACGTAAAATAAAAAAAACTATTCATTTTACGTAATAAAAACAATTCTTTATTTAATAAAACATTTTTTTCTCTTAACGTGACTTTCATTTTTGTATGAATAAGAAGGTGAATATCGATGAGAATAATGAATGATATCAAAGATAGACGAAAAAAATATCTGAAAATTAATTAGGCTATTGATTCAGACTATATTTTTCTTTTCTTGAGGTCATCTATTTATTTTATTCAATGATAGTAGCGGACGCAATCAAACAATGAGCATATATATATATATGCATCAAGAAAAAAAACGTTAGTTAAGCCGAATATGAATCATTCTAATGTTGGTCTTCTTGATTTACCTAATGAAATATTACTTTTGATTCTGAAAAATCTGAACAATATGGATGTACTTTATTCATTGTTGAATGTTGATAATCAACGACTTGATGTTATAGTACGAGAAAATACATTTACTAATACTCTCAATTTTATATTAACAACATTAACTGATGATATTTTCTCGTTTAACGATTCAATAATTAATCGATTTTGTACAAATATTTTGCCGCAGATTCATCATAATGTTAAATGTCTTATCCTTGATTCACTATCTATGGAACGTATTCTTGGTGTAGCTAATTATCCTAATTTAACTCAACTTAAACTTTATAATTTTAGTGATAAAATTGTTTCATCCTATTTTACAGGTAAATTATTTACACAATGATTTGGGCAAAGATTTAGATGAAAAATTCTTGTATAAATAGATTCGACCACAATTATGTATTTATTTTTTTCTGTTTAGTTGAAACACCACTTCGGTATATTTTTCAACAACAAATTACAGATCTTATACTTGAATTCGAAAACGATTTTAATGATATATCAATAAAAAATTTTACAGCAGATACATATGAATATATTTTGAAATTCTTTGAAAATTTGAAACATTTATCTATTATTGGATCGTTTCCTCGTTTTTTTCCACCATTGATACTGAATAATTTACCTTCAACTACATTCTTTTCTTCGATTCTTAACAAATTATCAATTCATGTTATGACTTTTAATGATTGTCTTGCTTTACTTGATGGTCGTCTCCAACAATTAACGTCTTTGATTATTGTTATTGATAATATGCAATATCATTCATCGAATGTTTATCATATCGTAAGTTTACAGTTTATTTGATAAATTCTTTCAACTTAAAAGCAAAATACTATTGTTCAGGTTAATAATTGTTATTTATATTATAATAGATAGTGTGTTTTTCCTAATGAATTAATGTTTAATTCAATCAATTATAATTAAATAGTTGTAAACTGAATATTTCTCTATTCGATGGACAAATAGTCTATTTTGTATTTTATTTCATTTCATGTATGGATTCTTTTGAAGAGATAAATCGAATGATTCAATTTTAACAAACAAATTTTTTAGCTTTAGATTTATTGATCATATACCTTTTTACTGAAAAATTATGTTTTAAAAAAAAGGATTGAAAATGTTTATCTTAAAATATTTTCAAAATGTATCAATTTTTTCGAGTAGTAGAGACAAGATCAAAGTTATCTTAGTTTAACTTTTTCTTCATAATTATAAATAATGTTTATTTATTGCTGTTTTTTTATGTCTTTTAATTATTTTCGTTGTCTTATATGAAATAGAAAATCTATAAGAATGATGAATATTAAAGATGAAAAGGATTAAATGTATTAAAAGAAGAATTGAAAAGTAAAATATTTATGATTGAAAGGTGAAAATAAATAATGAGTGCTAAACATAGAAAAGCTAGATTCGAATAATTTTCATTTTGTTTTGAATTTATGATTGATTCAATTCTAGCAATTTTATGTAATGAATATAGTCATATAATATCAAATGATATGATTTGTTTTTATACAACAAACAATATTTTTCTAATAAAGATATAATGAATTTCATCTAAATTTTTTGCAGTTTTTTAGTACCCATTAGTTCTTATGTCCTAGAAGTTTAGAAATAGAATGTATTTATCTTCTGTCATCATATTAGAAGAAAATATTAGCATGATAAGGTAAAAGACATTTAAAAATAAATTCCATAGAAATAGACCGGTTATTCAGTCATGATCATGAATTATTATTCATGATTTTTTTTTCTTCTTTGATTAATAATAATAGAATCTTTTATATTTTCTAGGATGATTTACCTAATTTAAAATGCTTTTCTTTAACAATATATGATTGCTTAACTGATGCATATGATAGTCAAATTCTACCTCTTTTTCGTCGTCTGTTAAATCTTGAAGAATTATGTTTATGCATAGCGATTAAAAATCGAACAACATTAATCGATGGTAATCATGTTTCTGATGAAATTCTTATTCATATGCCACGACTTCGTACATTTAAATTTTGTATTTCAATGAACATTCGTATGAATAATTTAGTTCATTATTTATCTAAAAATGATATTCAACGATCTTTTATTAACATGAAACAACATCAACAAGTAGACTGTATTGTAAATTACCGATATGGTATTGGTACATATCATGTCTTTTCATTACCATTCATGTTTGATTGTCTTGAATATGTTGGTAACAAATTTCCAAGTATTGTTTTCAATCATGTTATAAGGTTGACGGTGCGTGATGAGGTTTCATTTGGACATGAATTTTTTCATCGAATTGCTTGGTCATTTCCTTTTCTTAAATATTTGTGCGTTATGAATAACAAACCACAGTTATCAAAATTAGAAAAATTGAATTCGAATTGTAAACCATCGTATTCGATTGTTAAATATCCTTATCTTATTTCGCTTCGACTTGATACTGCTTATGTTCATTATATAGACCAATTTCTTAATCAAACAAAAACACATTTACCTTCTCTAACCATATTAAGAGTCCGTTATGAAAGTTTAAGAATTGCGACAAGAAACTTCAGAAAAAGTATAACACGACTTAATTGCAGCAAAGTGAAAGAATTAATTTTTAGTCCAGCAATAATCGATTCACCAATAACAAAAACGAAGCGTTCAAAAAAATTCAATATTTATTTTCCTCTGTTGGAATCCTGCGTTTGTTCTTTATCATATGAATAAAATGAATGCTGATGACATATTGATATTATCTTTTGTAATCGAATCATTGTTCAAAAAGTGTTAATTATAAATGCTTATTAGCTGTACAAATTTTTCTTTAATAAATATTTAGATTGAACATCTTGTATATATATATATTAATAAATATTTGTTTGTTTGTGTTATATGTTTGAAAGTTGTCTATTTATAATCAGTGATATACATGCCTCGTTGAAAAAGTAGCCAGACTAATTTTATACAAAAAAAAAGAGTAAGAGGCTCTGCTGTATTTCTATTATTGCCTATAGCTAGCTCATACAGTTCTCTATCTGTAGACAACATAAGATTAGCCGAAGAAAACGTATAAATGAAAATGTAGAAATGGGTTTGAACCACTCTAAAGACACTAACAGAAGATCAAAAGTTTTTAACATCGCTCAATGATAGTATTTCTTGTTCTAGGAGTCCATGTCTCATTTAATATGTATGAATCTACAGTGACAGTTTATGGTGGTCGGTTTTCTATCGGCCACTATGGCTACGTGAAAAGTACTCGTAAACGCACATTTAAAATTACTTAAAAGCTTTTAGAATTCATTTAGGTGCTTGTCAGCAATTAAAATATTAGTAAAAGCTCTTTAGCGGCTTGGACAGCTAAAAACGCTAATTTTTAAGCACTTCTTAGCTGCTTAGAACATCAACGTTGAACAGTTACAGATAAGTATTTAAATAGGGCGAAATTTAAGCACTTATTAGCTACATTAAACTTAAGCCCCCCCCCCCCTCCCCCTCTCCTTAGAAATGAAGTCCCACTTGGGACCCTTCGTTTGGGCTGAAATTTTCAGGGATGATTGGTCTTAGTGAGAAACGCTTATGATAAAAATTTCAGCTTCACATGTCCGACTAAATCGCAGTTTTGATTGGTTTTCCTACCTTTCAGAAGAATCGAAATAACTCCGTCCAGAGAAGGGATAGAGAGCTCGGTTGATTTCAAATTGTAGCTAGCCTCTGTACGCAACTTTTCATCGGACGGAATTTTGAAAGTCCCTTCCATTCATTTTTTACGAGTGATTTTGTGGGCATGTCTGCAAAATAAGCATAAAAAAGTGTGGTTCGACGACAGTAAATTCCACTTTTCTCAGCCCTGGGGTTCAATATCAAAAATCCGTCCGACGAAAAGTTAGCTCTAATCGAGACCTTTAAAAAAGAAAACATCGGTGATCTGCCGAGCCAAGCCGGAGTTATTTCGATTTTTCGGTCTAGAAACCATGTTTTGAGAAAAACGCTAAAGAAGTTTTAGAAATGATTTTTTCGTTCAAATTCGAAAAAAACACATTAAAATAGCATATTTCCAATATATTTCATAGAACTTTTTAAAAGCGGGAAACTGATGCAGTAAACTAACGTCCTCTGACATGCCGCTTAATATATAAAAATATTCCGAACGCAAATTTTCTAAAACTGAAAACCTTTAAAACTACGAAAATTTCTCCGAAAACATGGTAGTAGATTTTAAGTTTCATGTGGTAAGTCTTTGAAAATCTGATCATTTTCAAAAAATCTATAGATATTCTGATAGACGAAGCTTCGCTGCATCTTCCTATAATAAAAACTCAACTTCGATATTTCCCTGAAAAACTCGATTTTCTGAGGGGGGGCCCCCCTTAAGCAGTTGCTAAGTATGTAAATTTTACCATTACAAGTATTTATCAACTACTGTTCAACAGTGATGTTCTAAGCAACTGACAAGTGCATCAAAGTTAACTCTTTAAGCTTTCGCAAACCGCTTGAAAGAGTTTTCACTAATATTTTAATCACTGATAAGTGTTTCTAAGTCACCTAAAATGTGCGGTTACAGATAGTTTTAAGCGACAAATGTATGCCTTTTTAGGCTAGGTTTTGCGGTTAAATTTTCACATGGGTTGTCATTTGTGAAGATTTCATACAAAAACTGTTTCAAACAGTTCGAAATTTTTAGGAAACGGTACACATTAGTTCTCTGTGCTGAAAAATGCCATATTAGGTATTAAGTTGGTGAGATTTATATAAAAACTGGTTTATATAATTGAAAAAAAACGGAATCTAGAATAACTATCCTCTGAAGTCTTTAAAACACAATCTTTCTAAATAAAATTTTATAGAAATTGCATTCTTATATAATATATAATTGTGTATAGAGTTTGCAATGGAAGCCTCTGAAGGTGTGTAAAACAAAATGATTTCTCTTGTTCTATAAAGGATGTGGATGTGGGTGTGAATGGATGTGCTTGGACTCAGAGAAGAGCCACACCCACACCCCACACCCTTTTATTTGATGCAGCGTGCTCATAGCCAAAAAATGATCTTTGGTTTGTCTACAGAGTCAAATAATGTATAAAATAAGTCATATTTGAAGCATCTCTAAAATCTTACTCGCATACATTGATACACATGCCCATTCTCAATATCCAAAATAGTTAGACAGAAAAAAGTCATGGACATCGAAGATCTCCTTTATTTGACTTTTGCACATTATCCCGAGCATGGCGAACTTCTTTTAGATGATTCACTTCTTCTATCCCATAGAAGAACAACATTCAAAACACGAACATAGCATGCAATAAGTCAAAGAAGCACGAAATGCATCATGTAGATACGTTGTTAGACCTGGCAAAGTTTTTTTTTTCTCAAGACTTTTCATTTCAGTCTTTTTACTTTCGATTGTTGACTAGTGAATTAGTAAGAAGGAAGTATTACAATCAAATATAATGCTTTAATCGGTAGTATTATCAAATTTGGATACTGCCACAAATGATTCAATATGCTCTGCACTTCATTCATTCGCAAGTATTAATCTACAGCCAGAAGCGAGATCATTTAAAGGCATCTTTTTCAATGCGCATTGATTGTGAATTCCATCGATATTAATCATATTGGAATATTAATTATCCCAATTGATGTTGATGTAAATAATATGAAAATCATCTTGCCGAAGGAATTATACGTCGTGGTTGTCGCCACCGTAAGACTTGATTCTTCACCGTATGACGAAAACGAGGTGATGCAAACATTAAAAGATAGAATCGTCCCTAAAAATACACGACAAAAATGAATACTGTAATTCATAAAAAACTTACTGCATAAGCAACTGAACCAAAAAGAAAAGTGATGTTAGAAGCCAATGCATCTTTGGCTTTTTGATCAGCATCCTTCTCAACATCTATCGTAATAAGTGCATAAGCATTATAAATACCGTATGGACTAAGACCTATCAAGGTAAGCAAAACTTGAATAAAAACTATGATTGTCAATTGTCGATCAACACGTAGACGTGCGAGAGCAGTTGTTTTTTTTATATTTTGATAAGCTAAAATTCCAAATGTCATCATAATTAATATAGGCGTGCCACAGAGTATAATACCAAGAAAAAATGTAGTATAGACACGAAATGCATCAGTGGTATAAAAACAAACGCTTGTTATTGGTGACATGTCCTGATAATATAACCAAAGAGTACCATGAAGCCACCAGATGATAACAACGAATAAAGAAGCTCGATATGCATTTTTCATATTGCTCCATTGACGAAACCTGACATGTTGTGATGTAATGAGAAACTGATCAATAGTAGACAAACATGCACAAGTTAGAGGTATTACACTAAAACTTGCAAGGAAAAAATAACGAAGCTTGCACCAGGCGACAGAAATACGCGTTATGTCAATGTCTAGATAGGCGGCAACAACACGCACACCTATACCAATCATAAACTGACCACATTCATGTATAGCGGCAATAATAAAATAGAATGTGCACGGAGTCTTTCGGAAATAGGGTACACTCATAAAAGTTACAATCTGCATGACACTACCCGTAAGCCCAATAATTATGAAAAACACACCAACAGTGAGCGTAATTAGTCGATTAATAAAGATCAATGACGTCATGAATTATTTTGGTGATAAACACATCTGAAATCGAATAATATCACTTAAAAAGTGTTAGAAACTATTATAACTATGTAATTTAAATGTAAATAAATGAAGAGCCCATCACTGAAAGCCATTCATTCCTACTTTGCCGTTAAAAATATATTTCGCACCACATACATTTAAATTTCCTGAAATTTTCAGAATATCTTAGAACCTTGGTGGACAAGTTATGCTCAAATTTTTATATGATATACCGTAGCATTTCAGAGAGATAGTCATCAAATAAGGGTCAGCAATAGCTCGATTGAAAACGCAAAATTTTCTTTCGATCCTCTTGGTATATATATATTCTTTTTTTTTACTTGGAAAGTATATCAGGTTCTAGGATATGACAGAACGTTTTTAATTCTTTCTTTTTGTACGAAGGAAAAGAGATTATTAGTTGAATTTCTTGAGAAACTCTCAATAAGTAACGTTCTAATAATAGTAATATGTTTTTTATATACTAACAAAAAAAGATCTTAATTTAAAAAAGAAGCTTTGTCATGTTCTTTCAAACAACATTAGGCAATAGGCTATAATCAAGCTTCTTAGAGTATTCTGAGATTTGTCATTTTAAAAAAGCACAAGCAGAGAAAAAGAAAACAAAGATTTTTTTGTTTTTTCTGAATACAGCATATTTCTCAAGCATGCGATGACAGAAATCATTAAAAATTGTGACAAATAGGATATGCCGAATAAAAAAGTGATGTCATTTATGAAAGATCAAACCTTGGACTATCTTACTATGCACTTATTTTAATTTTGGTAATTCTAACGAATATTGACTTTTTTTTTAAAGGGAGAGAACTTTAAAAAAAGAATCTCGAAATAGAGATCTGTCTATTAATCTATACTTATGTGTTCAATGTCAGATCAATAGTTTTTTTAAATTTAAACAAACTATAGAGCTATTTTTTTCCCAAGAATGAAAGAAATCGACTAGTCAAATCAGAATTTCTCATATAGCAAGTATTTATATGCAATTGGAGAAGTCAGAGATTCCTATCCAAGTGTAAACTTTATTCATCTATGAAAGAGGACGATAATAAAATTTCCCTTCAAGACTTCTTCAGAAAAAAGAACTGCACTGATTAATTACGAGAACGAAGTGAGAAAATAATGGCACTACGGAAACAATTTTTATGTCGCGAGTCTTAAAGAAAAGCTACTAGCGTTATCCTTACAAGATTAAAATGTGAAACACGATATAATGGCTGTTGTTAATTACAGATTATTGCTTTATTCCATTTATTTTGAACCGTACTTCTTCATCATATTTTCACTTAATTCTGCAGAAGTACTATTAGAAAGTATTTCATGTGTTAGAACGAGATGCTATTGATATATAGTCTGTAATCGTATATCAACAATGTCTGTCCGAAGGGGCAGTCCAAAGTTCTATCTCTATTATTTGTAGATCGTATTTTACAATAAAGATTAAATACTAATATAGTAAACGCAAGAAATTAGAGAAGAAAAGAAAAAGAATGTTTCAAATTATCACATACGAGCTGTGCGCTTTTTCTATTCTAACTTGAAGACAAATTTTTCACGAGCAACAGCAGAATGGAAGGAACAAAAAAGAAATGCAATTTGTATATGTAGTCATGCATGCAGCAAAAATAAGCAAAAGTCAGAGATAAAACAGTGAATCATTTCTATTATCTGAAACGCCCTTTATACTGAAGATAATGCAACTTTCCACATCTGAGATTATAAAAAAAACGAGCAGAAAAAAAAAGAAATGAAACGTCAAAAAGTAATCAAAACCAGTTTTTTTAGTGAATTAGTTAACTGTACGCGTAAAAGATTGAACAACCGACAGCAAAAAAAGAAGAAAGAGATAGAGGTGAAAAAGAAAAGAGAGAAGTAAGTAAAAAGCAAAGAAAAGTAGAAATAAGCGAAAACGCATCGTAGTGCACCGTTGTCTAAACTCTGAATAACCAAGTCTAATCATCATTTCGTTACATCAAACCGAGGTAGCTGCACGCCGACAAATTAAGAGGAAATTGTCTTTTTTCGTAATCCATTCATTATCCGTTCTATGGACATGATCAAGTTATCTCAGTCAATTCATTTTAAGAATATTTTGTAGTAAAGACTATACGATTAGATGAAGAACCATTTTATTGCACATTCTATCTCCTAGTGTAATACCAATGCTGATTCACACACATCGCATGTAAGAAGTATTGAGTCTACTATCTTCAGACGTTGTGAATATCCATGTCTTACTTCCATAGAGAAATACCGATAAGTTACCGGTTCCAAAGACATTCAATTAATCCTCTACCGAAACAGTTTTTTCTAGAAAACATGATTTTGTGTAGTATATTAAATGCTATCGATACATTAATAATTCTTGTTTCTTATTCTTGCTTCTTTGGACAATCTCTTATCAATGTACTGGTATGTATGTGAACCTATCGATTGTTTCGAACATCGCTATCACATCGTCATCGTACTAGACCTGTTTCAATGTTGAATGCAACGACTAGTGTTTCTTCTATTTTTACCCTAGCTCTTTTATGATTGTAGAAAAGTCTCATCCATCGAACAGGTTTTCAATCAATATAAAACCCATGGCATATTCATCAGAGTACTTGTCAACTAACTGAATTGTAGAAATTTTGTTGCAGATTGAAACATATATGTAACAGATTGTTTTATTGTTCAATTTTTCCATAATGTTTCTTACGATGAAGATTTTATCTCTATTATCGATCTGTTTGCTTTTTCGAGCTACATCAAGTAATAATATTCCCCGATAGTTGTCGTGAGTGCGTATTTTTCATTCAACTAAACTCGCATTCACTAAACCTGGAGCATACTGTCACGTTCAAACAAATACCTACATCAAAACCACCGCGACATGTTAAATTGTAATCTCATTTTGACCATCTTGCTAGGATAGAGGATCCTGTTGACAAATGAATAGACTATAACTCAAAATATCTTGGAAATTTAGAGAGATATTTCACCAATCATGTATTCTAGTCAGGGCTAATATTCTGAATTTTTGATTCAAATCAGATGAAAAAACAAATGTTTATTTCTGACGGGGCCTTTAATAAATCATATTTATCAATGATCATCCAAAACTTTTTTTATGTTAATGAAAGTAAATTATAAGTTATTATTTTATATCACAGTCGTCAACCATATAGTCAGTTGGTTTTCGATCAATACAAAATGATCGACATAACCGATCGGATGAATAATGAACTGCTTTAAATGTTCATTAAATATGTGAGTCATATCGAATGACATAATAAAGACGAATCCATTGATAATAAACTGAACAACGAATCTTCGTTCCATTCAAATTGACAATTGCTTTTTAATCAATAAAAGAATTTAAATGGCGGACATCTGTAAATATATCAAATGATTGGTTAGATTACCTAACTTATTAAAATCGACGATTGATTATATCCAAAACTATTGCGAACAATGAGTAACAAAAGTTTGATATTATTCTTATTCTAAACTTTTCTCAAACCGAATATTCATTAATTGATTATAACTTCAATCAATTTAAAGAGGAAAATTAGCGATGGAAAAAAGTTTAAATTATTTATACATTACAATATGCTTAAAAAAAAAGAAATATATTTCAATTATTGTTCATAGTTCGATAAAAATGAATAGCTCAAATGATTTTTTTTCTGCATAAAACAAAATATAGTTTTCTATAAAATTATATTTTCCAGATGGCATCGAATACAAAAAAGACAAAAGGATCAGCATCAACTGCTGTATGTTATTCAATTTTTGGTATTCATTTTAATTTTATTAGTGTTTTTATAGACATTACCGATTGTAACAGATCCAGAAATGGCTGAACGTTTTGAACGTGAACTTGCTTGGTGTGTTGGACAACTTGAATGTATGATGAGATCATCATCATCGACAAAAGATAAAGATCCTCGTAAGTTTTACTTCATTGATTCGAAAGTTATAATTATTTTGATAAATACAACAAAAATTCATAGAGTTTATTTTGCAGAAAATTTTCTTCAATATTGTATATTGAATAATATATTTTCAGAACTTGTCAGTGTTAAAGTTAAGGATAGCTTCATTCAATCGGACTCAAACATTTTTTTTTGCATACTTTACACTATATTTCAAAGGTGAATTTAAGCTTATCATAAATTTCATTTTCTCTCTTTTTGAGAAAAGATCATCCAGAACCAGGATGTTTATATTCAGAGCTATGTAAATCCTGATAGAAGAAATCAAAAATGAAGATGATCGATTCCATTTATGGAGAATACTTCCATGGTAAAAATTTCAGCTCGATCGAACAATGATAGAGGAAATTCGTAAGCGAAAGAAATGTGATTCTGTGGAAAACTAGAAATTTAAAAAAAAATTTCTTTTGAATTTCTCTATGTGAAGCTTCTATTCGAACACTATTCTCCAGTATTCAATTGAATTTAATCAAACGTTTTTGTTTTCTTGCAATCTTGAAAATAGATTTCCCTCGGTATGATTTATAATGAAAACGTATATAAAATTTAAATATGATTTTCATGTTATCTGGAGATTCTCAAAGTGTCACTAACGTAAGATTTTATATTAAATATATTATTTGTTTGGAACATATAAAGAAAAAGTAGAAGACACATAGTTCGTGTCATTTGTTGTCTTTATAATTTAACTCATTGTTAGAAATAAATAATATGAAAATTTATTTATAGCTCGATCAGCTTTACAAGTTTTAACAAATCCTAAGACATCTATAATTCGTAAACGACAAATGATGCAACAATTATTTGGTGATTATCGTCATAAAATGCATGAAGAAGACGTAGCTAGACAAAAACGTATGTATATTAATATTATGCGTTTTTTTTTGTCTTAATATAATGATTTATTATTAATCATTAGGTCATAATCAAATACGAGTAAATACGAAAAGTGAAATTCCATTATCTTCACGTTTTGTTCGTCGTACACATCATAATAGTGATTTAATAACAACAAAAGACAATACATTTTCATTTAATTTTGATATTCCATTATCGGATATGGATAAAAATTAATGTTTTCTTTTTTTGTTATATGCTTATTCTAGATATGTCTATTGAACAGAATCTTCTTATTAATATAGTTGATCAAATAGTATTACTTGATGAAAATTTTTCATCGAATGGTAAATTAAATATTAAATAAGAATATTTTATATAAATGATTTTTATAGATTTAAATGCTATACGAACATTTAAATCAACAGCATCATCATCTAATTCATCAATTAATAGTTTAGTACAAGTACGTTACATCAAATTATACTCTCATTTATAAGTTTAAAAAAGATAATGAATAATAATTGAGGTATATATTAAAATTTCAACTGATGAAAGCAATGAATTCAAAGACTGTAAAATCTCAATATAGTTTGCAATTGATGTTGTAGCCTTCGGTTGAATAACATTAAGTTCGGTTCCAGTGACGGAAGTTTTTACAAATTTCGACCTCCGTATTAATCATGTCTTGCAAAAAAACTGCTTCAAAACTGATTCCCATTGAGTCTAAAATAAAAACTGCTTAAACTACTTTTTTTTACTTAGTCAATGAGCACATACGTGGTGTCACAAAAGTCTACTGAAAAAAAGTTACGAATATCTTTTAATTAGTTTTAGTGATTTATATTAAGTTTTAATATTATGATATTTTATTGTTTGAAATTTTATTCGTCATCAAATTTGAGTCGTTTATCGTTTGTAAAACAAAAAATCCAAGGCAAAGTTCGCATACAAAACGCTTGAAAATGAGTCACGATTGAATTTTCAAGCTATTGTAGCAGGCTATTTCATTCCGCACATAAAAGCATATCCGACAACTACTCAGTATCTTCCTATCTCGCTTTGCATGATATAACTTGTCTCATAAATTTTATGAATTTAAATTGTCAAACTTTGATATCAATGATAGAAAGCTCTAACAATTAAGAGAAGTCGTTTTTTTCTTTTTAAATAATTTATTGATAAATGTAAATTGAAAACAAATTTTTACAAGGCACTTGTAAAGGTCTAGTTGAATTCAGAATGAGAATCAATAACAGAAATTGGCTCGAAAATAAACTTATCGCTGCAAACTATAACATATTTTATTTTAATGTTCATTTTCAGATCGGACAATATTCTTTCTTGTAGTGTTAGAATGAAGATAATCAAAACAAATCTTTAGTCTAGGCAAAAATGAGAATAATTATGAATCGTTTACTATATTGTTTTTTGAAATTATGAACACTTTGATAGAATTTGAAATATATACTTCAGTTTTTGACTTACATCTTCGAATTCTTATTAGTTAATGATGAGTAGAAATAATTGTTTTTGATTCAAATTTTGTGCTTAGTAATGTAAGTATACTAAAGAAAAATGCAATATCATTTTCTAAAAGGTGTCAACAAGGTCGAAATATCTTGTACGAACTTCATGACCTCTAATATTCTTTCTCATGAAGATTAATTTTACTATCAAAATGGTAATAGTAAATATTGAAGTGATCGTTACTCAATAATGTTTGCATTAAATTTTAGAATACATGAGTCATGAGAATATGACATTTGACGCAAGTCTTACACAACCATAAAAGATATCATTTCGAATGAAAAAGTATTGCTCCTGATGGGATTGGAACCATCTTGTCCATATCTATCTATTGCAGATACATATGATAATATTCAATAATCTGAAACCATTCAGTGAATGCGTTGAACAGATAGACCAATATCGAAATATACTTATAATTATTAACAAGCTAATATTTATTACTTTGATTTGATTTTCTAGATTTTACCTGTTTCAATACAATGCCAAGTAAATGAATATTTAAATGAAATAATTGGACAACTTGTCCTTTGTACAGGTCTGTTGAATTTCATTAATAAACTTCTTTTGTATTTATTTTTCTTTAGGTGTTAATGCAAAATCTCAATTACCAAATACAATATCTCATATAATCAAACGAACATTATCTAATCGAAAAGAAATAACGATAAAAAATGGTCATTTTAAAAAACAAATTCATTCACTTACTGAACTTTATTCAAAATTAAATACACAAATTCAAAATGTTTGTATTGAACAATTAAAAATGATTAAAGCTAATGATATAAATACAAGTCAAATTGATACACTTCGTGAACAATATCAATTATTACTTAAACAAATACAGTATATATTAAACAATAATTTTATTTTATCTTTTCTTCTATTGCTTTTTTTTTCTCCTTTTTTATAGATTACGTCGATGTGAATTCATTCGTGATATATATACAATGGAAAATATTGAAATATTACAAAATATGAAGTATATTGACATAAGAAATCTATTTTTTTTTTTGTTTTTTTTGCAATCAAAATTTTTTATTTAGATTAGATTGTGAAGAAAAACAACATCAATATGATGAACAAATAAATCATTTTAAAAAACTTGAAATGGCTATTACTAATGAAGGTGTTCATTATCAACATTTAATAAAACGTTATTATGAATTATGTGATGAATTAATCAATGCTCAAAATGCACTTAAACGACTTAAACAACAAAAAGAAAATAGTTCAATTTAATATAACTTTTCTTAAAACATATGTTAAAATTTTTTGTCAGATATTTAACAAAGATATTCATCATTATCAATATAGTCAGATAAAAAATAAATCAAATAATAATTTTATTATATGATTGGTTTCAATTCGTTTTGAATATTTGATATCTAATTAAAAATTTAACTACATCTTATAGAGTAGTGAAATTAAGTCTCTCACTCATGATATCACGACTATCATTCATGTTATCGGTAGAAAAATTTGTATGCATATACTTCACTCAACGTGCAGATTTAAGACATGAGCTTATCTCATATTGTTCAAATAGAACGAGAATTATGATGAATAATAATGGATATGAAGTTCATCAAGCTTTTACAAAATTGTAGTTATTTCTTCATGACTATTTGACTGACTTTTGAAGATTATAAGGTATTAAGAGCCCGATAAATCAAGCTGCAGTTTGCACCTAAACTTTGTAGTTGAGTATTATTATCTACAAGTTTCATAAAAACAATTACTTCCGTAATAAAATTATTGTTCATTATTATAACGAGTGAGATTATGAATTGCAAGATAATATTAAATAATAATAATAATAATAATAATTGACAATATTATTCGATTAAATATTGAACATAGACATATAAATAAAATGTAAAAATCTACTTAGATTTTGCTTTAATAAGTAGTGTTTCTCTATGCTAATTTAAGTAGTTGTTCAACTGATTCAGAGATTATATTATAATATCGAAAACTATTGTATAAATAAGAATCATTTGTATGAGTATGATTCTATGTATTGATATATTCTTGATAAAAATGTTTGTCACAGCCTGTCGAATTTGGAAACAATCCAACGAGTTATACTTGATATATATATAAAATGGTCCTGATCTCGATGAGAAGAAGACCGGAACTGAAAATGATTAGTTTCACTCATGTCTAAAGTATACTCTAAAAGTAATAGACAGTTATCACTTGATTATTATAAGATCATCGTCATGATTGTCTGAAAAATGTGTAGAAGGTGTCAGACTTATCTAAATCTGATTTTCAATCAACGACAAAGCGAAAATAAAATGTTAATTCAATGTATTTTTAAATAACAAACGAAAAATGAACAATGAATTGCTAAGTTTACAATCTTTGTTTAGATGTTTTTTTTGTCTTCTGATCAACAATTAAACCACCATTTGTATGTTTATTAAATAATTTAAAGAGAAAAGGTCAATATATCATTTCATAACGATCACATGCTGTCGTTATGATAATAAATGATAAGCATAACTTTTTTTGTTGATAGAACAAAAAAAAAATTAAATATAACAAAGCATGATATTGATGCCATCGATATTTTCATATAGTTTTTCTTATAGAACTGAACATTTAAATATTGATAAAATAAATACACATTCGAAATTCTAACGTAAAATTAATTGAAAAGAATTTTCTTTGTATGTATCATAAACTTTCGTAAGATGATAAATGGTAAAGATGGCCTCAATTTATGAATAACAAAAAGGAAAAAAAACAACAATGAAGGTGCATATAAAAAAAAGATAAATCACGAGTGTGATATTAAGAGAGATTGTTTATCCTTTGAAGAATACACAAGCATTTTTCTAATGTAAAAGAAAAATGAATACTAACAATAAAATAATAAAAAATATTGTCACTTTAACAACAACAACACCATCTAATGGATTTTCGACTGTTTCAGCAGATGCAGCAGATGATGATCAATTAAGAAAAATATTATTATATGCAATACCATTATCATGTTTAATTATATTTTTTATTATTACTGGTTTTATCGCTATTCGTCAACGTCACCGTATTTTAGATAAATGGAGTTCATTAAAACGAATGAGAAATACAAATCCAAAATTTCTTCAAAATACTGGTTTGCGACGTGATTCAGAATTTGATTCATATAATCATGTGCATGTTAAATCAAAAGTAATGCATCAAGAAAATTCACTCCAACAGCAAAGACAATATCATTTACTAACAATTACATAATATAGAAGAAAATTTTAGTGTATATATTATGATAATCTCTTGTTTCGTTTTTTGCTCTTTGTCTTTGTCTATCTAATACAAATGGTTTGTTCGAACGAATTATTTAATAAAAGCTTGTGTTAATTCTAGAAATATATTATCGTACACGGAATGAAGGACAAAATTTTATCAAAAAAGGAATTATCAAACACACTCTTAAAAATAATACGGATTTAGAAGCAAAAGAAAAAGAAAAAAAAGTAATTGACAAAAATCTATTACTTTTTTCTATGAGAACTATTAAGTTTAACTCTTGTCTATCTGTTCAGTCAAGTAAATAGACTCATTCAAATGAAAACAGGTTTGACATGCGATAAAAAAAAAACAATGAACATTGAATTTAGATAAAATTTGATAGTTTGTGATCCTACAAATCTTTGTTGACTACTCTTTGAATCCACTACATGTCTATTTGATAGTATAAAGATTTATTTGAAAATAAATTATTAGATACTGCTACTTGTGTAAATAAATACATCAAGAAATCACATTATAATTAATTATTATTTGTTCAATTATGTTTGAATAGTATTAGAATATTTTATTTCAAATATTATATTGTTCCATATTCCATTTAACGTAATACAAACATCTATTTGAATCGTTTTATTACTTATAGATCAATATCCCTAAACTAAAGTAAATGTTATCTATATTCATTCGTATAAATGTCATTTGAAAAGAAAATACATCATTTTTTCTTCTTTAAAATAATGCAAAAAAAAAATTTTCAACATGTCAACGGGTATCAAACGCTAATCGAACGTCTTGAAAATGAATTTACTCTTAGAACAAATAATTTTTGAACTTTGGAATCTATGTACATAAATATATAAAGTTGATGAATAGAACGAGAATGTACTAGAAGATAGAAAACTCATATGAAGGTAATATGGATAATACACTAGAGATTGATAGTAGCTATTATCATTCATCAAAGATCCAAGGAAATATTATAGAAGTAATCGGTCTAGTAATAGAAAATGGTACTAGTACATTTTGTCGCAATCATTTCGTCGCAGAACATTTTGTCGCGTTCTGTTCGTCGCAGAACACTTTGTCGCGTTCTTTTCGTCGCAGAACATTTTGTCGCGTTCTGTTCGTCACCGAATAATATCTTTCGTTCTGTTCGTTGCATCCTTCTTAATTAATTCTTTTTTTTTTAAATAACCAATTTCAATAAAATAAAATAAATTAAAAATTCTGAAAGATGTATATGATAACGATAAACGATTGACTATTCTAAGGCATATACTTTAATTGAGGAAAAGGATCAATGCAAAATATTAATCAAAAGTGATCATGATAGAGCTAAAGTGAACGAAGAATAATTAGATTTGTCACACAGTTAATGAGTTTCAACATAATCTGTGCCAACGATAACAACAGATCCAATGTTTTTAATTATGGGATCCCAATAAAAAAAACATGCATCGATGATATTGAAAATATATTTCGTTTCTCAATCTCAATATTCACTGCACACTACTTCTCAAAATAAACGTCTCAAATGGAAAAACTTCTTTCTGTAAAAGGGAACAGTGCTCCTCTATGAAAGTTACCTCTACACTATAGAATTTTCAATAACGATATTTTCAATCTCATCAATGTATATTTTTATTTATCGTGGTCGTATAATTAAGAACATTTGATGAGTATTATTGTTGGTCTAGATTATGTTGAAATTTTTTAACCGATTGACAAGTCTAATTATTCTTCGTTGACTTTAGCTCTATCATGATCACTTTTGATTAATATTTTTTATTGATCCTTTTCTCCAATTAAACTATATATGCCTTAGAATAGTCAATCGTTTATCGTTATCATATACATCTTTCAGAATTTTTAATTTATTTTATTTTATTGCAAGTGGTTCTTTAAAAAAAAAAAGAATTAATTGAGAAGGATGCAACGAACAGAACGCGACAAAATGTTCTGCGACGAAGTGATCGGTCACTCAGAAAATAAGAAGATAAATGAGAGCACAATACTAATGATAGCTGCAGGATATACTTGTAATCGTGAATTCATAGTCTGTAATTTTGTCTTATTCGCCAAACTATCATAAGAGACGAGTAGCGTAATTTTCAGATGACTAGAGAGGACTGAGACTCTAGAATAAATCATATTCCTCTCACTGAAAACAAACTTTAGCTCAGAATAGAAAATTTTCTCTACTGACTATCCTCATAGTGAAAACTTTAGAGCTAAGCTACTATCAGAGACATACTGTAGTGCAACCTTGGAAGAGTTACCACCTGATGATGTTCAATAATTTAACTATTGTACTTGATTTTACATGTGAAGAACTGATGCATTAATATTAATGATTTTATAATCGATTGTTCGAACGAAAAACTTGATCGTAAGAATTTTTATTGTTTTTTTTTTTGTATAAAATATTTACATCATAATGAATCACAACGGTTAGATTTTGTTGCTGATTGTATTTTTAATACATTTAATTTTGATAAATCAAGTTATTTATCATTTGAAGAATTTCTTATTGCATCGATTTTTTCATTATGTAAAGATTATCAGCATAAATTATATATTTTACCTTTTCAATTCTACGATATCAATCAAAATAATACGATAGAAGTTAGAGCATCTTTTTTCTCTGTCATATCATATATAACTTATTTTTAACACATGTTCTTAAATTAAAAAGTAAGAAATTACAAGTACAATTATTTATAACATAATTATTTCAGTCATTTTATACTATTCATTTGGCGAATCAATATAAAAATGGTATACATTTCGAAAGAGAATCATATCTCCTATTAGTTGATAAACACAATATCGTTTCAACACATGTTTACTATAGAAATATGTGTTGATATTTTGTATTGTATTGCTACATTATATGGAAAATACGGACCTATTTTGAGTGTAAGTCTCTTATGTATTACCAAATTTTATTTACTAACGTGTGCTAGACATAAGATAACTATGATGCGATGAAGAAAAAATTTTTCTATCGTCTAGTAAATACAGTTTTTTTTTCAGCATTTTATACTACAAAGAAAACTAGGGTCTGACATTTGTTTCATTACTGTTGCATCATATGTTATAATGAAATACAGTGAACTTGTATTTGCTATAGAAAAAAAGCTGTTAGAGCAATCCCAGTAGGATAAAAATGTGAAACACGATGTAGCTGTTGTTGCTTATCATAAGAAGATTGTTTTATTCTATCTATTCAGGGACACAGTTCTTCATCATCCTTTTACTTTAATTCTTCCATAATGCTTTAAAGAAATATCTCCTATATATATCAAAACCAGACGTCATTGACATACGGCCTTTGATCATATATCAACAATATCTGTCGCAACCTGTGATGCGAGGAAAGAAAAGCACAGCCATGGTATCCGCGAAGAAGAGAAGGGTGTTGCTAAGGCATTTGTCACAGTTTGTGATGTGAAAAAGAGGTGCAGCTAAGATGTCAATCATATATCTTTGATGGCCATTTCTAATGTGTATGTCATGGTCTCTAAGAGTGCAAATTTCTATCATATGTATTTCAATACTCCTTTTAGGTCATGTTTCATAAAATGTGAGAGTAACGTAGTTGAACCGATAAGTATATGATCGAATTATTAAAGATGGACATATTACAGAAGAAGAATTTGATGCTGAATATTTATTTAATCCAACAAATAGCTTCTTCACTATGAATCATTTGTTAAAAAAAAAAAGAAAAAAATTAAATAAACACAGCAGTACAAAAAAAGAACGCAAATTCACTGTTTCTACACATAGCCTATGAATATATATATATATGTATTTTTTGTTTTTCTCGTATAATTAAACAGTAAATGATTCATTAAGGTTAAGTGTTATTGGTAAAATTTCAGGCATAACTGAATGATGTATTAAAAGTGATAGAAGTGTTGGAAATTGTTTTATAGTTCCTCTAATACGATAAATAGGATTATTATTAACCAAAGTTTTTTCAATAAGATAATGAACTATATTTGATTCATGTGTAAATTTTGGAACTTTTATTGAAAGTGCATAACAATCGGGATGTGTTGTACTATCTCGTAAAACAAATGCACCATAATCAGCTTGTTGAAGGACATCGCATACTGCTTCTCTAACAATAATATGAAATTGAAGGATTTTACAAATGAAAAAAAAATGTATAAAAACATTGATTTGAATTACCTTTCTAGATATGGTCGATACCAACGTGATATTGATTTGAAATCATCAGTAACATTGGGCGATCTATAATAAAAAAGAAGAAGTCATTTCAATCGTGTCGCGAACTATAACTTTATTATCTTTATTATATCAGTATAAGTAAATTGCTGATGAATCAACATGAAACTATGTATTTAGTTAAAGTCATATGATCAAATTTCAAATAGAGATTTTATAACACGGATAGAAGGCTTAGCTATGACAATATTATTAAAAGTTTCAATAAAAATATATTCTTCTTTTTAATATTGAAAAAAAAAGGTCAATTGTAAAATTTTTCTATGAAATTCGATCGTTTTTTGACTAATCAATATTTACAGAATAGAAGTATTCATTTCAACTAACACTTTTAAGATATCAGTAATTTCATTCGTTGGTGATGAAATTTCACAAACCAAAAAAAAATGTTTTTATCTCATTACTAGAGATGTACGAGATCCAAAGTTGAAGGTTTCAATAAAATATTCTATTGGTGTTAAGCGAATTATCTTATAAATTATATCAATCAAAACACCATTAAAGAGAGATAATGTAAAATAGCACTAGTTATCAACTAAATAAATCAAAAATAGGAGTACTAAAGGACCTTTGTGAATGTGATACGAATAAGTTCTCAAATAATTTTCTTTGGATTGTGATCACGACTAGAAAAAAATTGTTTCCATACATTTCTACATTAGATTTTGAAATTTTTGTTTAGATAATTTTTCTATAACAGACATCAATTAAGTTACTATGAAAAACTC